TTGCATTTACTCTTGTGTCCTCTCTGAGGGACCCCCTTCTCTCCAGTCATTAATTTTTAAGTAGCATTATGATTTTATAGCATAATTGGGAACTCTTTCTCTTTTTAATCCTTGAGGACATTTTTCCATTTATTTTTAGAGAGAGTGGAAGGGAGGGAAGGAGGGAGGGGGAAAGAGACAGAGATAGAGAGAGAGAGAGAGAGAGAGAGAGAGAGAGAAAGAGAGAGAGAGAGAGAACCTGATGTGAGAGAGACGTATCAGTTGGATTGGTGGCCTCCCGCATAAGCCTCGACTTGGACCAGGAATCGAACCTACAATCCAGGTACATGTCCTGGACCAGGAATTGAACCCATGACCCTTCAGTGCGCAGGCCGGCGCTTTAACTGCTGGGCCACATGGGCCAGATCAATTTGGAGCCTTCGTCAAACATCAAATCTCACTTCTGCTGTCAGAAGCCTCTGCCTCCTTTAAATTTGCTTGTTTGAACTTTTGTAGATTCAAGAAAATGAAAGATGTGTTTGTGTGCAAATCGACAGACCGTTTATTTTGTGAGGCCGGGGTCTCTTCCAGGAGGTCGGGGGACTGTATTCAGTAGGTCTGAGGTCCTTCTCTCCGACGCTGTGATATTTTCGAATGATTACTTTGCCCAAGTTTTTATTTCATTTTAAACAAGTCTACTTGTTGAAACATACGGGTTATTTTGTAAGTGACGGTAATTTTGCATATGGCCAGCCTTAAAAACAATGGTATTCTTTTTTCTTGTTTTCCCTAGCAAACTGGAGGAGGATTTTTTATACATGGCTTATGCAGATATTATGGCAAAGGTAAATAAACGCCACTCTTGATTTTCAAGTGTAATTTTAATAAAGGGAAATAATTTTTAACCGACAAGGGATAAGAATGTCTTTCTGGCTTAAAATACAATGCTGTTAAACCTTAGAAGCCTACGGTGCATTCATCTCCACTTTCCACTTGTTCCATGAATCTCTGTTCTGACTTTCTTGACCAGTATTATGGTTTCTTCCTTTCACATTGACTTATGGGGAGCTCACTAGCTTTCCAAGCATCCATTCATTCAACACCTATTCACTGGGCATCAAGGTATTGGAGATGACATGGTGAGTGAGAAAGAAAGGCACATACCCTGCCTTCTTGGAGTTTACTGTCTGATGGGGAAGACACCATTTAAACATCGAAAACGATGACAAGAAGCCTGGGAGTTTAGTGTGGGAGGAGCAGGGTATGTAGCACAGTCATTAGTTACAATGACATGCTTTTAAACTATAAAACTCATATCTGTTTGCTTTTGCACCTGGTTGAATGAATAAATGAATGTGACAGCCCTTTTAGAAGCTGCCATGAGGGACGGAAGGACGACATTTGTATCTTCCGTCCTCTCTGGCTTCAGTTCTAGACTCAGCGGACTGTGAATCATTGAATTTAAAGTATTTTTCTGATTTGTATCTTAAATTTAACCACGTGCCTCCATGTACTTCCTGATACACCGAGTGCTTATCAGCCATAAGGAATCCTTAGAAGGGTTGGAATAATCCACTTTGAAGATTTCTTCCTGCCGTAGGTCTTGGTCACATGATTCTTCCAATTCCAAACCACAATGATAATAGCCGTTCAGATTTATTAAAACCTTATTATTTTTCAGACACTTGCTCTTAAGTGGCAAACAATTTGCATATATTAATTCATGTGATCTGCTGAAGACTTGGGTGTTCTTTTCTGAATCCCACCTTAAACATGAGGACACTAGACCAGAGAGGTGAAGGAACTAGCCCCGGACTAAGCAGCAGACTCTGGGGACAGCAGGATTGGAGCCAGGCGTCTGCGTCCTGAAGCCTGTTGCCAGCCACACCACTCTGCCCCCGAAAGAACTCCAGCGTGGGGATTAGTTGCCAGTAAAATGGCGCATGGATTAGCACAGCTCCTGTCTCATTTCTGGGAGAATAACTAAAAAAATACAATGTTTTATCATTTTTTAATAAGGGTATTAGCAGTTACGTTTTCACTTTTCTCCTTTGGACACAAGACAATAAAAAATGAACTTAGAAAGCAAGTGATGACAAGGTGTACTTAATTAATGGGCACAGCTCTCGCTTAGTTTGAATGCGTGGCCATTGCAGGTTCCTGCACGGTATCTGCACCAGTGCGTGGTGACGGCGGCGTCACAAGAGAAACGTGATGCTTGTCCCAAAGCTTGCGCTCTGGGTGGAACAAGGCAAACACGTGAATAAGTAGTATGTGTAGTATGATATTTGCCGCATAATCATCTCCATGAAATGTATGAAATTGTTCACTGATATTTTAATTTTGTAAAAGCACAGTGAAATTTTCTTTTAGGGCATGAACCCATTGATGATGCCATCTAAGGTCATGGTACCTACATGACATATATTTAAACACTGTTGATAGTAAATTAATGCAAGTGATTTTGTCTTCTGTGCTAAATTCTTTTGTATTTTGTGCCTCGACGTACTCTAATCCCGTTGACCTTTTTCCGTTGTTCTGTTCTGCAGAGTTGTCATGATGAAGATGACGATGACAGTGAAGAAGAGGTGAAGAGTTTTGAAGTAAGATGGATCTTTCTAGACTTGCCGTTGTCCACTTGGAAGCATTGTCTCATAGCTCATAACTGACATTTCTGTTTCTTGCTTCATGGCTTATCGCAGCTTATTGTGTCAAGGAGCTGCATGTCGGAAGCTGGGTGGGCAGTCTGAGTCCTCCCATGCGCTGCCCTAACTCCAGGGACCGTAGAATAGCTAACCGGTCAGACACACCCATATGTTCAGAATGAGTGCTGCTGAGGCCCCGAGATGAGGTGGCTTCATCTCGGCGAAGGCCGTGATCTAAAATGCCTGACAAGCCCTAACTGGTTTGGCTCAGCGGATAGAGCATCGGCCTGGGAACTCAAGGGTCCCAGGTTCGATTCCGGTCAAGGGCATGTACCTTGGTTGCAGGCACATCCCCAATAGGGAATGTGCAGGAGGCAGCTGGTCGATGTTTCTCTCTCATCGATGTTTTTAACTCTCTATCCCTCTCCCTTCCTCTCTGTAAGAGATCAATAAAATATATAATTAATAAATAAATAAATAAAATAAAATGCCTGACAGACACGCACATTTACTGCAGGGCAGCATGACTTCGAGTATTTAACTGAAGCCCTGGTTTGACATTTTTTGGAATTGAAGTCAGAGACCTGGCCTCCCGTGCCCTCTGCACAGTCGGTCACTCATCCTCGCACATATGGGGCTCACAGCGCCGCTGGCTTGCATGAGGCAGGAGGGCGTGTCCCTAGGACCACCTTCTAGCTTATGGCTATTTTTTCCAACCTCTCAGCTCTTAAATATCCCATCATTCGAGATACCGCTCAATGTTAACCAGCCAGAAGGAAAGGCAAGCTTACTAGTATTTCCCCCCTGTGCTTAGACTATACTTTGCTTTTGATGCGAAAAAGTAGGTGTTGTTAACTACCAGTCTCCTTATTTATTGTTTTTGTTTGCTTGCTTGCTTGTCTTCAGAATTTTCAAAGCAATATTAAGTGGAAGGAAGTAGATTAGATCTTTTTAATTTTCCTGTTGATTTCTACGTCTGGACTCTGGGCTAGAAGTCTGGAGGACATTAGGACCCAGCAGGGAGTCTTTAGTTCAGTGGACCCACCAGGAGGTGTAGGTGAGGACCGGACACAGGGCCTCTTTCAGGAACAGTTGACATGAGCATCTGTGCTGCGTGGAAGTCCATGTGTAGGAAATACAGAAACAGACTGGTTTGTGAATGACCTAGGACTATTGCTGGCTGCGGGAAATGCCGAGGTTAATTTCTTCATGGCACTGTAATCCTTTCTTACGTGTGTGTATTCTGTTCTCATATCCATCTTTATTGATAAGAGGCTGAGTGAGTTGTGAGCAGCAAATGACGTGTTCTGAAAGTGTGACCGCGTGTGGTCTGCAGCTGTCTTCAGAACAGTTGTTTATTGCTATTTTGCTTCTGTCCTCACCCTTCCTAAGGTCACGGGATCCCAGCGCAGCAAGGTAACTGTACATGTGTGTGTATGTGTCTGGGTCTGAGTTCGGTTTCTGTGACATTTACCTTTTTGTTAGACCCAACGTCTCAGATTCTTCTGTAACAACAGAAGGTCTTGCAATCCTTTTACATGTTTGTAGCTCCAATGCAACTGGTCTCTTCAGCGTCCCTTCCTTGACACAGATTTATCCTTCTTGCAATGTCAGTCGCTCGTGATTTGAAATTGTGTGTTACATGGTAACTTCGAGCTGCCCACGTGCTGGGACGGAGGAGCCCCGCCCTGCCGGTGGTGGACTTCACGGGGCGTGTCTGGCCCACGCCTCTGGATGCTTTTACACCAGTCTCGTCACGTGAAAACAGACGTGACAAGTGGCATTCCTAGTGACATGGGAAATAAGTCTCTTTTCCATTCTCCTGGTGATACCTTCCATTAGTAATTAGAGACTACAGTCCACAGTTTTAACGTTAATTTTAGCATTTCATTCTAGGATAAGAACTTGATAATTATTTCTACCTCTTACTATTTTGAATAGCTAAGTCCTTGTAAAATTTGCTACGAGGAAACATTTTGATCTAGAAATACAAAAGTAATCTGAGATACAAAAAAATGGGGCATTATAAGGAAAAATTCCACGAGGGATAAAGCTCAAGAAACATGGAAAACAGGGTGGGGACCAGCATGCAAGGATTAGCGGGCTCCTTTCTTCTGCAGTCTCATGTCCATGTTCCTCCTAGGATCCCACTTAACTGGCCCCATTGAACTTGACATTGACTCCCTGCTTCTTCTAGAATACTTTCCCTACATATTTAACAATTGATTGCATATTTAGTTCATTATTATAAAGCTCAAGAAACATGGAAAACAAGGTGGGGACCAGCATGCAAGGATTAGTGGGCTCCTTTCTTCTGCAGCCTCATGTCCATGTTCCTCCTAGGATCCCACTTAACTGGCCCCATTGAACTTGACATTGACTCCCTGCTTCTTCTAGAATACTTCCCCTACATATTTAACAATTGATTGCATATTTAGTTCATTATTATATGTAACCATTTTTAGATTTGAGTCTACTTCAATATTAAAACTAAAAATGACAGTTAAATCTTACAAAGAGGTCAGAATTAATGAAAAGGGAAGGTATGTTTGACAATTACGAGAAATGTTCATTACTGCAGTTGAATGCTATATTTAGGTTGGAATTTTTTTATAAACCAAAGCAATTAATAATGATAAATAATAATGTTTCAAGTCAATGGACTTCATATTTCTCAGCATGTTGGGATTTGCTCACCAAAATCAGCCGAGAGCTTTGGTACCAGAGTGGACCACATTTTTAAACTACAATTTTGTAAAATTTATATAACATTATTCGGATGGTTCCTTCTTCTACTTCATTCTCTAAGATCTGAGGGAGTGAAATGAAAAAAACGATAATGCAGTGAAAGCATTTTAGCGGCATGTTAAGGTGCCATAAGATAGATTTAGTACTTACCGAAGCGCCTACATTAATGACAGTGGAGCCTTCCTTGCCAAAGCTGGAGGGATGGAGCGTTACCTTGCTTTCGGGAACATTTTTCTCAAATATTAGGCAGCTTGCACATCCTCTGGCAGATGCCCGACTTCTCATTCGCGAGCGTTTTCTGATGAGGCCCTGAGGTCCCGTTACTCGTAGTGTTGATTAGAGAGATTTCCTGTGTCTTGAATAGTAAATGTGTCCGTGGCAGAGCTGACGTTCAGTGATGAAGAGACCAGCGCGCGCTCCCCCGGCGGGCTCACTGCAGGCTCAGGCACAGCTGGATGGGCATCATTCCCGCCGAAGCTCCTGCTCCCTTCCAGCCTGTGCACTGTTTCGTGTGCAAGACCCATGCGCTATAGCTCTGCCCAGTGATGGCAGCATTTTTATCTGGCCTCCAATGACCTGATTTTTGAATAGAATCCATTTTTTGGTAAATTCTGTAATAATGAACTGGCTATAAGATGTACCCTTTCTAATAGCCACATAAATTGGATCTTTGAATGGGTTTATTTCCTTGCTTTCTCCGGGACATGGCAATCTGAATTAGAAGGCTTCCTGAATCTTCCAACAAGATAACCCTGAATATAAAAAGTTGAAGGGATAGCTATATATATAAAATACTGAACAAATTATTTCTTTTCTCAAGAGGATGTATAATGTTTAGTTCCCACTGCAGAAGCTCAGTGGGGGAGGGGAGGGATTTGATGCCATTGTCTCTCGAATGCTCATGCCTGTGGCTGCCATCTGCCAGCTGCACTTTTCTATAATGAAATTGTTAATTCCAAGGAAAGCCCTCATGTTGTAGCCCAGATTCCCTAGGAAACAGAGCAAAGAGATTATGTGCTAGCACTTCATTGGGGTAGGGATGTTGTAATCCCAGGAAGCGTGAGAGGAAGAGACCCACACGGGGAAAGAGAGAGAGACACCAGGCCGGGCACCTGGGTTGCCACAGCTGCTCAGGGAGACAGACCGTGCGCACCTGGGACAGTGCGCCTGGGAGGGAGGGCAAGCACCTCATCTGGTCCGTCCCACCTCCTGGCTACTCCGCAATGGAACCATTTGCCTAAGGGAACATGCAACTTGTGGGGCTGCTCTTCTTCTCCACGCCCCCCGCCCCTCTTGCCCTTTCTTTGTAACCTTGGAAGAATTTAAAGACTAAACAGCAGCGGGCTGAAGGAATAATGTTAATTTAAGACCCTGGGGGTAGTTTTAAAAGGGAATCTGGGGTCGGGCAGGGAAAGTTGCCTTTAAGAAGGTACTTCAAAGTGCAATGTCCCTGAGGGGAGATAGTTTTAAAATGGTCTGTCTCCAGTTTGCTTAAAAGAGCAGGCCTGTCCCAGGCCGGTGTTGCTCAGTGGTTGAGCTTCGTCCCTTGAACCAAGAGGTCCCTGTTCATTTCCTGGTCAGGGCACATGCCCAGGTTGTGGGCTCTATCCCCAGTGTGGGCATGCAGAAGGCAGGCGATCAATGTTTCCCTCTCATCGATGTTTCTATCTCTCTCTCCCTCTCTATCTAAAAATCAATAAAACATTTTTTTTAAAAAAACAAACAAACAGGTCTGCAGTAAATTTGAAAAGAAAGTATTTTTCCCCCTACCTAATCCATCATTTTATTGTCTGAAAACTTCTGGCCTCTCGGTGAAGGTTTTATTTTTTTATGTTGGGATCGAATTCTGATGACAAGATTAAATGACACCTGAGAAGCCTTGTCAGAGACCTGAAAGGTATTGAATGAAAGTCTCGTGAGAAGAGAGCCCAACCCACCCACTGGCAGGC